CCCCGCGCCTCCCCTCCTGCCCACGCACTCCAGTGTTGACCCTATAGTGAGTGGGCGGTGCGATACGAGGCCCTCCCAAGGGGTTCAAACGCTATCTTTGCAGCTCGGTCTTCTTTTTATATTTTTTTTCCCTCCACTCCCGTGTGCCGCTCTCTCTCTCCCCCCCCGCTTGCTGGCGCGTTGGCGTCGGCTTCTTGCTCGGCGTCGGCCGCCCCGCTTGTCCCTTGTGCCGCACATGTTCCTACGTGCTGTGCTCGGGGAGGTCCTTGGGTGGGCCGCCTCGACACGTCGGGTTGACTTCGGCCTCTGCTGCGCTAAATATCCATAAAACTGTTTCGGGGCTGTTTGTTTGTCGGATGAGGGGACGCGCCCCGGTGTTTGGACCCTGGATAATGATGTTTCTCTTGGAGCGTCTCTGGCCTTCCCCGCTTGCCCTCTTCTCCCCTCCCTCCCCCACTCTCCCTCCCCCACTCTCCCTCCCCTCCCCCTCCTCTCTATCCCTCTCTGCCCCTCTCGCTCGCACACGCCCGTGGCGTTATGCCCGCCTCCGTGCGCACATCTGTCAACTGTATAGACTATTTCCATCTCCCATCGCGTGCAGTGTGAGGGCGTGACCTCTCCCCTCCGCCCCCTCCTCAAACCTCCCTCCATCCGTCCGTCCAGCTTTTATCTCTTGGGGGAAATTTGAGAGAGTTCCATTTACGGCCGTCATTGGTGTCAGGTTCAGTTCGTCTCCACCTTCGGCACGCGCCGCTCGGCGGAGAAGAAGCGACAATTACGGAGGAGGGGCGCAACAAAAACAGGTAACGCTGTGGCGCAGTAATTCTATGGACCAGCAGCGCTAGCCGCGCTGATCCGTTCGTTTGTACGTCCTCAATGTCAAGTAGTACGAGGTGTTCAGCAAGAAAAGGAACAAGGATATAGAAGCAGTATAATGTCGCCCGACTGCCTCCTAGACCCATCATTTAGTAGGTTGTGGCATGTTTGTCATCCACATTTATTTTTATACATAAAAAGAAATTGCGTTTGGGAGATGGAAGCCGCACGGCTGCTCGCGGAGAGGGTGCGGGGGCCCTGGGGGTTGTCCACCCTTGAGCTGTCCTGGTGCGAGTGAGTAGTGGAGTGGAGTAGTGTGGTGTGGGTTTGACGCCATTAGCCGAGACGAGGCTGAGATTGACTGGGCCTGTCCGCGCCCCCCTACAGCCCCCCC